ACTAGATTCCTAAATGCATATGCAAAAATCATGTCACCTAGTGGCGATCGATAAACCGTTTAGCCAAAGATTTTCCCTCTTTATAGTACGGCTATCGATCTTAAATCACTCACACCCTCTATGGTGTCTTGAGTGCAAACCAAAAATGGCTCCTATCATTATACCTTTGCCTTGAGCCCATTTTTGTTTTTCGGTTTCTCCTTTTCTAAATGTGAAGCACTTGATCATCTCTTTTGTGGCCGTCACCTTCACCATGACCATCTTTTAGCTTCACCGCTTGGGTTGGACCACCTTATCTAATTCACACACTTAGATCAAAGGTTAGTCCTAGGTTTCATCAATTAACCAAAACCAAACTAGGGCTTTCACTTGGGTAGCCTCTAAGTCAAGGCCTCCATCGTGGTTCCCATCCCGTAGTGGGTGGAATCGTACATGTATCTCGTCGAGCCGTATGTGGACGGTGAGTTGTCGTGCCGGCTGTTACCGCTTGGGTGGTATTGTCTTTTCCCTATGGCGTGACAGAGATGACCTTTGACTGGACCGAGGTGACCGTTGTCCCCTCGGTCCTTGTGAGGTCAGTGCGGCATGCCTGCTCATGTCAGAGTTGGTACTCTTGGCGGGACTTGGTCGCTTTTCGTCTCTCCTAGAGGTCGTGGTGGAGAGATCGTGAGCTGTTGCCTCGGTGCATGGCCAAGGCAGGGGGAGAGGTCATGGCAGGCCTTGGTGTCGTCACTTGGCCTGTCCTTCGCAGTATAATTGGGCCTCGGTCGTTTGGGCTTATACTACTGGCGTATTCGGCCTACCAACTAATCGATGCCTTGAGATACCTGGGGTATCATAACCTTGACACGTGGTGTCTTTGGCTGGCCGCAGGAGATGATGTCTCGGCCGGCGACGACCTCCTATTGGTGGCATTGGGTTGGTGGTGGCTCGATGACGCCGCAGCCGCGAGGGGCGAGGTGGATGGGGCGCGGTGCGGCCGGCGATGGGGTGCATCGTGGTGGGGGGAAGTGCACTGTGCAGCGAGGGGCAGGGCATGGTGGGGAAGGGGGAGCGGCGGGACGGAGTGGGGCGGGTGGACTGGAGTCTGAAGAAGAGGTAGAGTAGGAGACGGTGCCGGTAGAGGCTGAGAAATGAGTGGATAAGAATTAACGTAGAGAATGAATGATTGATATGAGCCTGGAGTCCATCCGATATTTCTGGGAGCGTCGGACGCTCGGATTGGAGCGTTTCCGAAAATAATTTCCCCGACAGTACGTTCTACACATTGGCAAATAACTCATTTTCTGTTATGATGAGTTGGATGAGCAGCGTGCAGCTGATCGCCGACAGTTGAAAGGTGGTGGTGCGGCGGCGAGGGCCTCCTCAGGCAGTCCAGCACCGCCTTGGAGCTTGATGACTCGTCTCTACGCCGCCGCGTATGCGTTTCGACATCCTGAGCCATGTGAACAGATTAGAGGTCTCTCAACAAAAAATATAAAATAATTTTTAAGAGCTACCATCTATGTTCCAAAAGGCATGGTGATTTTAGTTTTGTTCGCTAAATTCATTTTTTGCATTTTCATGGAATTATTTCATGATTTAAGTCAATTTCAAAATCCGTCAGACAATCATTTTTTTATGAAGCGTCAGCTAAATCATTCGTCGATGCTCGTAGGGGTAGGGTTGTTCACAGGGTATCAGTGTTGTGCTTGTTGTTCATAGGGACTATTTCTTTCCAAATTCATTTTCTGTCGTTTATTTGTTTAGCTCGTGTAATTCAGATTCTAACTGTCAAAATCTATGCCCTGAAATCTATGAAACGAAAGTGGCTGAAGACAATACTTATACACATTTGGATTTCTGCTGCATGACCAGTGTGCATACGACAACCTTTTTTCCCTTTAGACAAATAGATTGCGTAGCATATAGCAAACAAAGGACAAGGCAGCAACCAGATGCCTGCATGGCTGCATACACACAAGCAATTGCATCTTCACATTTTACATGGACAGAGGAAACTCAGACATATTAGAAACGTTTCTCTACTACTCATTAAAATAACAGTATCCAGCCTTCCAGGATTTCCAGAATAGCTAACAAGTTCATAAGTCATAACTAGTGCAAAAGATAACAAGTAGAAACAGGACACAACTGATAACTGAATGGAAAGAGAACCCGAATTGTAAACTCTCAGGCTAATTCAGAGCCACTGTTAATTAATCAAATCAATCAGGTGGGGGATTCTTTCCACACACACAGACTTATCAAAAAAAACTGAATGGAAACTCCAAGTCTAAGAACTCTCATCTACCATAATGGACATTACCATAAATGCGAGCTTATGTTCTCTAAGGAAATTTGAGGTGAAGTTTCAGCACAAGCTGATGGAGTTCATCCATCACTTGCCATCAGCGATAGAGCATACTTGGGTACACCCAGAAGACCTGCAGTTGGGTGTCTGGATTCCACACAGCATCCGCATCATCTCCAAGCCCATGCAACACCAAGGGTGGATCGTAATACCCGTAGTACAAGCAGTTACTCCTCCCGCTCCATCGTCCTAAGCTGGCGCAAGAAAACACAGGGCTCCTCACATCGCACCCAATAAAAAGCGAGTAATTCTCTAGCTTCTTCACCTCCACCCAAGCTGCAGGCACAGTTGACATGTCGAGGCGATAGGCTTTGTACTCGACAGGTGCTCCAGCTAACGAAAGGGTTATGCGATGGTCGACCATCAGGAGCATGTCACCACACACCACGATCCATGGCCTTAGATATGGGCATGCATCCTCGCCATCCCACCACGCAGTTGCTATCTCCGGCAGACCAAGCTGAGGGGCCAAGGACAGATTGTATAGCTTGTAGTAGTAGTCCATTGCGATGAACTGGCCATTGAACTCCACAATCTGCTCAATCCGTGAATCATCGAGCCGAAGTTTTGACCAAGAATCACTTCCAATCAGCCAGTCAAGCAGGAAGCACTGACCGCCCTGTTTCGATGATGCGCAAAGTAGGAGGTGTGAGTTTGGTGATGCGACAGGAGCTGTCAGCATGCCAGAGTAGAAATAAGTGTTGTTGCCAAATGGGAGCTGTGGAGGTAAAACTTTGGCACCAGTGAACACATCCACGATAAGGCAATTTCTGCCGCAGCCACAAATCAGCTGCCCATAGGAAGAGCCGGCAATGTGCAACTTCTCAGAGTGAGTGCCGGCGCCTTCGCCGGCGGCGGCGTGATTGCTTTCCCTTTCTCGTCTTCCTAGTTCCTACTCTACCACTTCCTAGTTTCGCTCGCCTCTGCTCTACGATCTTTTATGCGTCAAAATTGGGCCTTGTGAGCCAGGGCTGTAGAGATAGAAAAAAGTCCACATTACCTCTCTCAACTTTCGCGAAAGTCCGTTTTTCCTTCCTGAACTGCAAAACCGGGCAAAACACCTCCCTCAACTTTTAAAACCGTTCATTTTAGCTCCCTGACCCTGTTATAAGCAGTTTTAAAGTCGGTTTTGTCTTTGTCTTTTTATTTATTTTGGCGAATCTTTGAAAAATCATAATAAATCATAGAAAAATAATAAAATAGAAAATTCAATTTTGTTGTACTCCACATGAGTAGATCTACACAGTGAATATATAATATGGTAAACTTTAGTATAAAGTTTTTGTTGTTGCTTTAGATCTATGTTTTTCTGTAATTATTTGGAATAATTCATAGTTGCAATTTCAATGGTTCAATTGTGATGAAATTTTTATGGTGAGCTAATTATTGTATGATTGAACTATAGTAAAAATTTCATATTCATTGGATCATGTATAGCTTAGTTATAGATTTATTTATATTTAACAAGCATAAACCTAAATAAAATCTATAACTACGTTAGACATGATCTAATGAATATGAAATTTTTACTACAATTTTAACATACAATAATTAGCCTACCATAAAAAATTTATCACAATTGGACCATAGAAACTGCAACTATGAATTATTCCATTTAATTACATAAAAGTATAGATCTAAAGCTACAACAAAAACTTTGTACTAAAGCATACCATATTATATGTTCACTGTGTAAATCTACTCATATGGAGTCGAATAAAATTAGATTTTCCATTTTATGATTTTATGTGATTTACTATGATTTTTCAAAGATTCAACCAAAATAAATAAAAAAGAAAAAGACAAAACCGCCTTCAAAACCGCTTATAACCGGGTAAGGAGGTAAGATGAACGGTTTTAAAAGTTGAGGGAGGTGTTTTGCCTGATTTTAGAGTTCAGGAAGGAAAAAGAGACTTTCACAAAAATTGAGGGAGGTAATGTGGACTTTTTCCATAGAGATATCACGTAATTGGAACTTTGGGCCAAAATGATGAAGCTTACAACTGGCATAACAATTTCTTCCAATTTCAGAATTTTGCCCTCATTTGTTTTGAGCGACTATACAACATTTGCTATCTAAAATAAAAAAAAAACTGACGCGCATTTGAGTGTTGAAATTGGACTTCAGTTATTGTTTTACTCGAATATAAATTTGTTCACTTCAATTCCAGTTCCAAATTCTTCTGTTTGGTAACCATTATGAATTATATTTTGACTCTTTTTTTCTCACAGTATAGTTTTTTATAGACATTAGTCTCACACACACATTTCCTTCCAAATTCGAATTCCAGAATAAAAAAAAACATAATCTAAACAGGTCGGTTGAAAAGCAAAAGAATAGACAGAAAGCTGATCTTGAGTACACATAGTGGGTTTCCCCTTCATATTCCAAAAGCATACATCAACATTTCCTTCAGCTACACGCACTATTTAAATGCAGATGGAACGTTACCAACACGTCATTCAGACAGGGAAAAAGGAGTGTTCAGACCGGGGCACCACTCTAAACGAAGAAAAGTGACTTATTTCAACTACTAAGTGCTAGTACCATAGTGACATCATCTATTCGAATGCAGAAGTCTTCCTACCAGCAACATAGGGCGGGCACAGATCACTGTCCATCTAAGTAGAACATGCTCGGGTACACCTAGAATGGCTGAAGCTTGAGACACAGGCCCCTGCTGTACACAAGGTCAGGGTCAGTGGAATCATCCCAAACTGCATCTGCATCATGACCCATCCCATGCAAGACCCAGGGTTGACTGTCATGGGTGCAATACAGGCAGTTGCTTCTCCCGCCCCATCGTTCTGGGCTCATATAAGAGAATGCCGGGCTCCTCACATCACGCCCCATAAAGAGGGCATCATTCTCCAGCTTGACCACCTCCACCCAAGTTGCAGGTTCAGTGGACATGTCCAGGCAGTTGGCTTTGTAGTTGATAGGTGCTCCAGATGATGCGAGGCTCAAGCTGTAGTGAACAATTAGAAGCATGCCGCAACATACCACCAGCGATGGCTGTGTATATGGGTATCCATGTATGTCGTCCAACCACACAGTTGCTATCTCCTGCAGACCAAGCTGGGGGGCGAAGGACAGAGTATAGAGCATGTGGTAGCTGTCCCTCGCGATGAACTGACCATTGAACTCCACAATCTGCATAATCACTGAATCATTAAGATTGAGCTGTAGTTTTGACCAAGAATCACTTCCAATCAGCCAATCAAGCAGGAACGGACCGCTCTTTTCTGGTAGCGCGCAAACTAAGAGGTGTGAGTTTGGTGATGCAAGGGGAGTTGTCAGCATGCCACAGTACAAATAAATGTTGTTGGTAAATGGGAGCTGTGGAGATAAAACTTTGGCACCAGTGAACACATCCATGATAAGATCACAAGGAGACGCTGGTTGATCATGTTGATTCATATGATGAGCTTGTGAGTAGACTTGCTAGCATAACCATGTCTTTAGAAAATGAGAAAGCTAAAACAATGAAATTGGAAAATGAAAACTCATTTCTAAAGAACTCTTATGAAGAACAGAAGAAATTACTTGATGTTCTTAAATCTTCACATTGTGAGCTAAAATTGAATCATGAGACACTACTTGCATCTCATAAAGAATTATTAGAACAACATGCTTGTCTCATTAAAGTATTTACAAAGAAACTTAAAAATAATGAGAGCTCATCACATGGATCAAATGATAAATTGCAAAATGTTGCTAACCCTTGTGATGTAAGCAAGAAGCATGTATCCACCTCTTGTGATGATTTATTAGATATGCCATGCTCTTCACATATAGATGCTTGTTCTACTTCTATGTCTTGTGATACTAACTTTTGAAGGACAACAATGAGCTTAAAAATGAAGTGAAGAATTTGAGCAATAAGTTAGAGAGGTGCTACAACTCAAAAGTCACCTTTGAGCACATGTTGAAGACTCAAAGAAACTATGGTGACAAGTGTGGACTTGGCTTCAAGAAGAAGATGACAAAGAGCGAAAGAAAGAGAGAAAGAAAGATAAAGAAGCTACAACAAAGAAAGCTCTCTCATACCATGTGTTACCGGTGTCATGAAGCGGGACACCTTGTAAATGGTTGCCCTAACATTGAGAAGCTCAAGAAGATAAAAGAAGAAAAGAGGCTCAAGCATGTGAAGTGCTTCAAGTGCCGCACTTGGGGTCATCTTACCTCAATGTGCCCAACCAAGCAATTGGTGAAGCAACTAGATGAGCCTCAACTAAAGCCATAAGTTGAGCAAGAGAAAACACCTCAAGAGTAAGCCAAGATCTATCATGAAGATGGTGGTGACTTGATGACGAAGAAGAAGAAAACAAGGGGTGGAAAGGCAAGGCATCCAATGCAAACTCAAGATGCCAAGATGATGAGCAAGACACAAGATGAGAAGAAAGTCTATACTCACATCAAGTGCTTCAAGTGTGGAAATATGGGACACTTTGCCTCTAAGTGTCCTACCAAGCTTGAGAAGAAGGCTCAAGCAATCCATGAGAGGCAAGGCAATGGGAAGCACCACATGAGCATGGAAGAGAAGGCTCAATCAAAGAGAAAGTGCTACTCATGTCGGGAAAGGGGATACATGGCATATTCATGTCCCCTAGGTAACACTCCCAAGCCTATTTCAATTGATGATTATTCTATGCTTAGGAAGGATGGTAATGGTACCTCTATGATTGCTATTGCAAAACATCCCGCTACTCATACTAAGGCTATGCCTAAGTATGTTGCTCCTAACTTGAGAGGACCCAAACTTGTTTGGGTACCATCAAAAAGTGGATGAATGTGTGTAGGTACCATGGTATTGGAGGCTTGATTCAATTGTTTTCATATTGGTCACCATATGTTGAATCAAGCATTGAAGCTTAATGCAATTCTATCCCATTGCCAAGCCAAGAATTAGTGAAGTCCAAATATGCTATCAACATACAAGTGTCATATTCAAGTTGTGGTGATTCATTGGATATATTTGATGGCATGCAAATAATTGAGTTGAAGCTTGCTAGTTGGATGATAATGAGCTAACCAAGGTATATCTCTTGTTGATTATTTCATTTGGGTGCATATGAGTTGATTGAATTGGATAAATATGCAATGTTGCTTGCTATAAGATGATTGAATGGATAATTGCTTAGTAATCAAGTTTGGATTGATTTGTGTTGGATAAATTCATGATATGACTTTTAGTGAGTGGTTGAATGGATTTATGTCTTGTGAAAGTATTCAAACAAGTTGGTTTCAAGTTTGATTCATATTTGATGAAGTATAGCTCAAGTGATTGAAATCTGTCCTATATTGAAAACCTGAGTGAGCTGTGATCTTAGCCATGTTTGAGTGAACAAAACTTATTAGATTGGCATAAAAATTGGTGTACATGCTCTAGAATTATTTTATAAGATGCTATAAAAATTTAATGAGAATTGGATAAGAAATACTTCAGTTTTGGAGTGGATCTTGTCAACTATAGTGCAGCAGTTTTCAAGCATGTAATAGTGGTGGAAGAATTGAAATCTAGAAGCAATCTAGAAGTCAAATGAAGCTCAATTTTTTATAGCTGCTAGATAACTTAGTGAAGCACATCTCCAACAATTTTTGCGGTATTTGGCTTGCCACCTATATGTAGGTAAACCAAGTGTGGTACTTGAAAGGCTAACATAAAAGTGGTGATCCGAGGGACATTTGAGATGCTTAGTTGAAGCAATCAAAAGGGTTGATTAAGAAAAGCAAGCAACACCCAAAAGAGAGCTAATCATGAAATTTCAAGTAGTATTCTCACGTTGATGCTCTCATGCAAGCATTGATCAAAAAATGAAGCAAGCTAACCACAATAAGATAGTGCACTTGATCATATTAGTGGATCTCAAATCATATGGGTGAAGTATGGATTTCATTATTCATGATTGGTCTTTACCAAGCTTATAATTGGACTTCACATTGCTATTGGAGTAATGAATTGGAATCTATGTGACTATCATCTACTCCAACATAGCAAAGGTATCATTGTAATATGCATGATCATTTCATCCCATACTAGTATGCGATTAGTGCATATAGTGCATGCTTCATAGGATCATGCATAACAAATGAAATGTTTAAATTCATAAGCCTACCACTATTGCTTGAAATAATTAGTTGATCTAGTGGTTAGTATATGAATTTGTTCATGAGCTAGTGAACCCAAGTACTTGATTTAATTTGGATTGCTAACAAGTGACAAGTACAACATTGGCAAGATAACCCTTGTAAGAGGTGTGAAGAAGCTTGTCATTGGTTCAAACCGGACTTGGAAGGTTAGGCAAATCAATTTAGTTCAAGTCAACCATAGAAGTTCATGATAATGATAGGAGTACAAGCACAAGACAACAATGCAAATGGATATCTAGTTTGTTTGTTTTAAGTGGTATCTAGACTTAAGTATTTCATCAAGAATTCACAAGTGATATCTAGATTAACTCACAAGTGATATCCTATAAGTGGTACTCATGAAGATAGCAAAGGTTCAAGAAATGGATTTTATTGATAAATCCAACAAGTGGTTCCATACTAGAAAATTCTTTTAAGTGGTATCACATCTACATGTGGTATCAATCATGCAAGACGATGGTTCCACAAGTGATCCTCAACTTTAAGTGATCATTAAATGAAGAATGCATCCCTCACCTACAAGAGTTCAAGTTTAGCAAATGGATGGCCCATGCTATGACATAGGGGGAGGTGTCCCACAAATTGGTATCAAGGTCAAAGATCCTATGTGTGGTATCTCAAGAAGCTATACAAGTGGTGTCATTCCAACAATCAAGTGATGTCCATAAAAAATGCAAGATTCAAGCCCCAACCATCTACCCCAAATGCAAATCTTTGCATCAATAAGAAGCACACCTTTTATGGAAATTGATGACAAAGGAGGAGAGATTGTACAAAGATATAAAAGCTTTGGGAGAGATTGAGTAGAGTTTGGGAGAGATTAGTACAAAGATATTATAGGAAGTTGGATTTGGACATGGACATGGACAAAGAGGGAGTAACATTGAAGAAAAGAGATGGATCAAAATTCTTGGACAAGAGAAGCACACAAGTAGGGGGAGCAAGCTCATGAACTTTGATTGGTTGCATTTGTTATGTGCATAGTCATGTGCTTGCTTGCATTTCATAAGCTTTTAAATTTGATATGCATGCTTGTGTGGTGTATGCTAGTTATAGAACTTGAATGATGATTTGATAACTAGCATGCATAGGATGGTAGCTAGACTTGTATTTTTACACGTGGTACTAGAACCTTGCTTTTAATGTTGATTTCATAGGGTTTCTAGTATTTTTGTTGTCTAGCTACTCATGGTGCTAAGGACGGTGTTAAAAGTGCAACTCAAATTGATATCACACTTTAAAGGTTTATTCTATACACCTTAGCATCATTTGGTAGTAATTACTCTCCCACAATTCCAATCTTTGCATATGTGCTAGCTTCAAACCATACACTCTAGCACATATGTAGGGGGAGCTAATACTTCCATTTCAGGTTTGTGGTACTTGTCCAAAAACATTTACACATGGTAAAATTGCTTGGGCAAGCAACATGAATCCAAAAGAGCTTAATTTCCATATCTTTGTAGAGTTGTCATCAATTACCAAAAAGGGGGAGATTGAAAGGTCCTTGTGTGGTTTTGGTAATTGAGTGACAACCTAGGTGGACTAATTATATTTATGTGAGATACATAAGTGATTAGTCAACATGTACATGTGTGTGAGCAACATATGCCATGAAGGTGGAAATGGCTCGGAGATGTTGCAAAGCTCACACATGTGATGATGAAGGAGCTCATTGCACATGAGACATGACATTGAGTCATGTGATCAAGGTGGAGAAGATCAAGACATGATTTGGCTTGATGGACTAGTTACAAGCGTGAAGGGAAAGTTGGAGGCTTTGGAGCGATGGACTGTGTGGCGGTGAAGCTTGAGCAAGACTTGGCACCGATGGACGAAGGCAATGGTGAAAAGCAAGTGAAGTCAAGATCGATGAACCAATACGGTCATGTGGTGATATGAAGTGGATCATATCATTTGGTGATTGGTTGGTGCATGTGTTGCATCTACAATCGAGGAGATGGAATGGAATGCGTAAGGCAAAGGTATAACCTAGATCATTTCATTTCACCGGTCATAGGTGTGTAGAGAAGTTGATGACCAGGTTTATGATAGATGGTTGTACTATGAAGAGGGGCAAACTTGTTTGCATATTGGTCATCTAGTGCCACTCGAGTGATCTAACTTTGCATCGTCGCTAGGATCGAGTGGCGTGGCAAGTTGAGTGGCTAATCTTTTGGAAAATGATTGTGAAAATGCTAACACATATACACATTGTGGTGTAC